GAGGTGGACCGTGGAGCGCGGCGGCAACTACGGCTGGCGGGCCCGCGAGGGCTTCGAGTGCTACGACCTGAAGCTGTGCGCCAACGCCTCCCTGGGTGACGCCTCCCCTCCTCTGCGCCCCGACCCACCTCCCGGATCTCCCCCATCCCCCCACTCCCCTTCCTGTGTCTGCCCCAGGCTCAAGGAGACGGCCTTGGGGGACACCCTGATCCCAGATCCACCCCAAGGGATGTGCGCCAATGCCTCTCTCCTGGTCCCCCACACCCCACCTAGGACCTGACCTCCCTCTTCCCACTCTCCCCCTCCCCAATTCTCCTGGGTAGCTCCTTGCTCTTCTCTGCATCTAGAAGCTGTAAGCACCCGCACGATTTGTTTGGGGGTGGAGGATGCTGATCCCTTCCACTCACCCCGGCTCCCCCCTCCCCCCGCTGCAGATGATGTGCTGCCCATATTCGCCTACCCACACAAGCTGGGCAAGTCGGTCACCGGCGGCTACGTGTACCGGGGCTGCGAGTACCCCAACCTGAACGGCCTCTACATTTTCGGCGATTTCATGAGTGGGTGAGTGGCGTGACAGCCGTTCTGGGAGGAAGGGAGGGTGAAGGAGGGACCCTAACAACTTCCCTGGGGGGCCAGGACCTGTCACTGCACCAGCTGGCCAGAGCCCCGAGTGCATTGGTCCAGGAGAGACCAGAGAGGCCGTCCTGCTGGGAGAGGGGAGCTGGGGCTCCAGCCCAGGCCTGACCACGGGGGCCCCTGGAGCCTTGTTCCCCGATTCCCACACTCTTCTGCCGGGCGCCTCCCTGGGGGGCAGAGCACACCCCCCATGCCTGCTGTGGGTCAGACTCCTTCCCCAGAGGAGCTTATGACCATCTCGCTCTCCCATTGTACAGAGGAGAACACTGAGGCCCAGCGAGGCCCAGGGCAGGGATGCACCTGGCACGATGCCTGAAAGTGCAGCTGAGGTGGCCTGGGTCCCATCCTGCCCCCCTTAGCCATGTGACTGACTTCTCTCAGCTTCAGTTTCCTCATCTGCTAAATGGAGATGGTGATAGCAGCTGCCGCCAAGGTCGTCTGAGGACTGAGTCCGTTAGTACATGCACAGCACTTAGAATCGAGTAGCTCAGCATCTGGTAGCTGTTGCTTATCCCCACTCGAGCCAGTGCACCGAGGGCAGCTGTTCCTCAGGAGGTTGAGGCGTTAAGGAGCCTGAGGCTGGAGGAGAATGCTCACCTCTGCAGGCTGCTGACCTGGGCGTGCCTGCAGCTGGAGCTGAGAGAGAGCCTCTGGATGCTGGATCCTTTTATCAGCTCCGCCCCTTCCTTGGGGTCTGCCTCTGGGACTCAATGATCCCATCTGGAAAGTGGGTCTAAATGAAGCCTCAGCTTTTACCCCAATTCTCCTATCTCCTAAGTCACCTGACTGCAGAAATTGAACTAATTTTGCCTCCCTTTCCCAAGCCCATCTGCTGGGCCAGGCTTTATGCCAGGGCCAGAGCAAGAGTTGAAGAGTACCTGACACCCAAGTCAGGGAGACAGACACTAGGTCCACTCTAGCCCGCCTCAGAGAGCCTGTGCACAGTGCTGGAGAAGCCCAAGGTGGAGGCATTCAGGAGGGCTTCCCGGAGGAGGGGGCAGCGAACAGGGCCTGGGAGTATCAGTAGGTAATTGACAGGCGGGGAAGGGAGTAAGGGGCCAGATCAGCATATTCTGAAGGTGCCCAGGTTACTTCTTGAGCTCCGAAGTGGAGGCAGCTCCTAAGTGTGTGCACACCCCTGGCACCAGCCTCGCAGAGCTCTGCCGTCCAAGTCAGCTCCTGACTGCCTCCTGGTGGTCACTGGGCGGGGGTGGCCTGAGGGGGCAGGAACCAAGCTGGTCTTTTGGTCTCTGTGTGCCCCGCCCCCTTCATGCTTCTCTGGTACATAGTAGGTGCTCAGTAAAGACTTCATGCAGGACAGGCTTTATGGATGTGAAGGGCCCCATGCTGAGAAGGGCCCACACTTGGCTTAATGCTCTGCTGTCTCACTGTCTTGACATTCTTAACCCTTTTAGAACAAGGGGCCCTGCACGCTCTGTTTGCACCGGACCCTCCGGTTGTGTGTGGTCCTGGTTGTGTGGGGGCCGCAGGAAGGGCCCCAGGTGTGGGAGCAGCGGGGTCAGACCTGCCCTGGGTTCAACAGCCTCGAGCTAGGAAAGAATTCAGAGCCAAGACGCAAACTGTAAGAGAACATTCGTTTGGAAAATCACCGAGGTAGAAGACATGGACTTAGGAACAAGTTACAGAGGCAAAGGAAGGGCCCTTGGGGTTTAGAAGTGCGGCAGGTACAGCTGAGGCTCCTGGGGGGAGGGAAAGGCAGGGCTGCTCCCAGGAGGGAGAGCCCGCGGGGTCCTCTGTCCTAAGGGTGTTAAGGGTGGGGGCTTTAGGGGCGGTCCCAGGGGAAGATCTCAGTAGAATATCCATCAGCTTCCCAGGGGCGTCCTTTCAGGTCTCCACTGATTGACTGGTCGGAGCCAGGGCAGGGGTCATTATTCAGTGAAGCTGGTCCTGGGGTCCATGTGGTGTTGCTTGTCTGGTTTTGCTGCTTTTCTGGGCCTGGAGCTGAAATACAGCTGAGCCTAGTATCTCTAGGGAGGAAAGGTCAGGGGTCCAAACGCAGGAGCAGCGATACGCTAGGGAGGGGAGGTCACCCTGGGGGTGCGGTCCCACCCTACACTTGTCCGTTGCTAGGCACCCAGGCTTTCCGCCCTGGTGACCTTCTGTACCCGGCCCATCGTCCTAGCTCATTCTCCTTTGCAGGCGCCTGATGTCCCTTCGAGAGAGCCCAGGGCCGGGCCAGTGGCAGTACAGCGAGCTCTGCATGGGCCGCGGCCAGACCTGCGAGTTCCCGGGCCTCATCAACAACTACTACCCACACATCATCTCCTTCGCAGAGGACGAGGCTGGTGAGCACTCCCGAGGACGCTCCGTCCTGGCTGCCCCTTCCTGGCTGGTCCCCCGCCCCATCCCCGGGGTCCTTCTGGCTTGGGGTTCGAGGGATGAGGCCTCAGGTCTGAGGTTTAAGGAATGGGGTCTCAGGCCTGAAACCACTTCAGGAGGAAGAGTGATGTGTTGGAGGGGGCTGGGGCTGGAGACCTTGCTTGTGCATCATCCTCCCCAGCTTCCCTCTCCCCCCTCCCCACACCTCCGCCCTGGGTGAGGTTGCTGGGAGGCTCAGCATGGTGACGTGGGGAAGAGTTCAGGGCAGTTAGAGGACCAGGAAAGTTAGGGACCAGGAAGTACTGGTGGAAATGCAGGCGGGGGCAGGGGTGGGGGGCAGGGGTGGGTGTGGGGAGTGCCTCCCAAGACCTCCACTGCCCCGGGTTCCTGATGGCAAGTGTATTGGGCCGATAAAATGAAGCCACGCGGGCTTCAGAACGTGGGTACCACCGCCCCCTTGCCTGTGAGTGGGTCTCTGTTCAGGCACTTGCATTGTCAATGTAAGGAGCAGTGGGGAGGGGGAGGAAGAGGGGCCGTGGGGGCCGGGTCCCACTCCAGCCTCCTGCCTTTGTCCCTGGCCCTGGATTGTCCCTGGACAAAAGACTAGGGGCCCACGGTAGGGCCTAGGGGATGCTTGGCCCGGTTGCTGGGCAACACCTACCAGGGGGCCTTTGGAGGGGTATCCCCTTGCAGAGCCCCGTGCCCAGAGACCCCAGGCCTGAGTGTGGGAAACCTTTGTTGAGCCGACACCCATCAGAATCTAAATTCTCCAAAGGGCAGCCGCAGCCCCCACTGCCCTCCCCAAGCCCAGTGGGCTCCTGAAAACCTTTTCTTTTGGCCAATAGGGGGTTAACATGTTTGGAAGGAGAGATGCTCTCTCTCTCCTCGCCCCCCCTAATTCCCCCCAACCCCAAGAAAGGCAGGGCCTGGAAGATGCATTTCCCAGGGCCCTTCCTCAGCCCTCTGAGTGGCACCGAGTGCAGTGACAGCCAGGCGGAGACCCCTCTGAGACGGACGGCCCAGGGACAGCCTGTGGCAAGCTTGGGCCGCGGCCCCTGGAAAGCACTGAGCTCTGGGGTCCAATGCAAACAACCCTCTCCCAGCTGCAGGCTCCAGCCTCCATCTCTCTAGCTGTTCCTCTAAGACAGCGGTTCTCAACCTTCCTAATGCCGCGACCCTTTAATACAGTTCCTCATGCTGTGGTGACCCCCAACCATAACATTATTTTCATCGCTACTTCATAACTGTCATGTTGCTACTGTTATGAATCGTCATGTAAATATCTGATATGCAGGATGTATTTAAGCGACCCCTGTGAAAGGGTCGTTCGACCGCCAAAGGGGTCGCGACCCACAGGTTGAGAACCGCTGCTCTAAGACTTGTAAATTGTGAAACAAGGGCCTCTGCTGGCCCGGTGTCCTCCCGGGATTGTCTACATGGCAGAGACCAGGAGGGCAGCCTGGCCCCGGGCAGGTCCATCATGGTGGGGCTCCCTGCCTGTGCATGGGGCTAGGGCCACGGCTCCCAGCAGATCAAGGCTGGAGGGAGCGTGGAGTGTGCCTGGTCCAACCCCGTCACTTTACAGGTGGGGAAACTGAGGCTGACTATTCTGCTCAGCCCTGGGGAGGGGAATGCTGGACCCAGCTGGTGCCTGGAGGCCTCCCAGAGGGCTGTACGCTTGAACTTGGTCAGTTGGAGGAAGACAGGGGAGAAAGGCATTCCGGCTGAGGAAGCGGAGTGTGCGGAGAGCCCCGAGGCACTTCAGGGGGCTGGAGTGTAGATGGGAGGGCCACACAGTCAGGAGGGAGACAGTGGCTTCCAGGGCCTCTCTCCGGAAGAGGCCCAGAGAGGAAGTGTGCCTGTGTCTTAGCCTCATGGCCACCATGTGTCCTACATCCATGTGAGCTTGGGGGCAGAGACGGTGCTGAGATAGGTGCCTCGCTTGCACTCCTCTGCTGTGTGATGCTGGACAGGTCACTTGGCCTCTCTGAGCTCTGTTTTCTCACCTGTGAGATGGGAATGATGAAGCCTGTTTCCTGGACATAGGTGCCTCTGGTAGCAAGGGCCGGGGTCAGAGAGCGAGGACTCACATTCCCTGAGCGCCCATGGTGCCAGGTGCTTGTGACCCCACTCACTGCATTTCCACTCCTGTCCCGAGAGGTGGGGAAACTGAGGCCCAGAGTGGGGCGGTCCCGGAGCTGCTGGTGCTCACACGGGGCTGAGTGCAGGGACTGGCATTCACACGAGAAACTCCCCGAGCTAGTGTTCTGCCTGCTAGTCAGTGAGTGGAGACAGGCTCTAGCCTCCAGGACTTGGCCGGCCCAGATCCCGGTGACTGACATCAGCAGTAACAGCTGGTGCTGACAGCACTGACCGTGTGCCCTTTTAATCTAAATGACAGTCCTGCCCGGCCGGTGTGGCTCAGTGGTTGAACATCGACGTATGAACCAGAGGTCACCCTGGTCACGGTTCAATTCCTAGTCAGGGCACATGCCCAGGTTGTGGGCTCAATCCCCGGTAGAGGGCGTGCAGGAGGCAGCCAATCAATGATTCTCTCTC